CCATGAAACTCAATAGGTTTACTCGGGCCCAGCATGAGTAGCAGAGTGGGAGGACAAGATGACAGACAAGACTCTGACATACTTTGTTTAGTTTTAATGCCCAATGACACTGACGACATCTATCCCTGATATGTGTGTGCGTGTGTGCGTGTGTGAGCGTGTGTGTGTGCTTGGCCTCCAGGTGTTTGTCTTGTAGTTTGTCCGTTGATAAGTCACGTCTCGTTTGTATCCGCATATTTGCCTTAAAGTTCCGTCGCCCGCTCTTGACTAATTGGCGGACAGCTGGCAGCTGGCGGCTGGCTTTTAGCTAATGCACATTAGTTTGGCCAATTAAACTGGACTCCGACTTATTTAAAACTATTATCTGCGCAATGCAAAGCCGCAGCAAACACAACCGCACAAACATGCCCCATAATCAGTTCGAACAAATCAACTTTCAAATGCAACCGCCGAAACCGACGAAACCGCCGAAACCGTTGCAACCGCCAAAGCGACCGCTCGAACCACGGCACATGTGAATGCGACTGCAACTGTGACTGTGACTGCGACTGTGACTGCAACTGTGACTGCGACTGCGACTGCAGCTCCAGGCCGAAAGTTGAACAGCTGCAAAACTAAAACTGGCTAATGTGGCGGCATTTGTCACATGGCAAACGGACTACACCAATTACCATGTAAGCGGCGGTTGGTGGGTGGCAGTGGGTGGCAGTGGGTGACAGTGGTGGGAAAGCAGAAGAAGAAGAAGCAGGTATCTGACTACGTTGAGGTCCAAAATAATAGGTACGCCAACCTAACTTACTTCGAACGAAATACAGTAATTAATATGTGAGCCGTGGTGGGTGACTACACTAGGGGCCAAAATAATTGATACACTAACCGTACTATTTTACACTTGGGTTCAAATTATTAGTTACACTAATGGAAGGAATCGGTGGTAAATTGAGAGTTTGAATGGAAAACTTTTCTGTTTTTTAAGATATCATGACCAAATTGAGCATTTATGTGTCTGGCAAACATATATGTACATATGCAAGCCCGTATAAAAGCGGACTGATACAGTATGTAACTTCTATTGGAATAATCTATCTTATATAAAGCTATTGTATAAAAGCTAGCCAAATTTTTACCACGATATTATTATATCTGCGGCCTGCCAAAGATATCCGTTCTGTCTAGTTTTAACATAATGATAAGAACTACATGTAACATAGCTTAAAATAACAATATATCTCATATTTTGTTACCAATTTGACATTTTTCTTTAAATTCTTTGTACAAAATAATAATAATTAAGCTAATCATGAATATACTTGATTATTATTCATATTATTCAACTTTTTGTTGCTTTCTGGCTAGAAGTCGGTTTAACTAGCATTGTTTTAATTATTTCGTGGATTTATGTGAATTTCGCATGTAGAGCTGGAATATTTAATGTGCCCTGCTAAAACAAATTGTGGGGTGGCCTAATGTCTTCTAATTAATAAAAGTAGTTAATTGTATTCTAAAGCAAAAGAGATTATATCAGTGTGATTAAAAGTGTAATTTTTATATGAATTTGTTCCTCTTTTGAAGTAATATATATATATGGTTAACATTAGATATTTTAATTATTATTTATAGTTCTCATATTTTCGAAGATAGTTAATCGACTTGAAATAAAGCTGGAGAAATTATTTAATTAAAATTCTTTAATTAAAAACACAATATTTAATTTTGTATTAATGACCAAATATGTTAATTATTATAATATTTCCATATAATACTCTGCTTTATATTTCTTACCAAATAGTGTACAAAATAATTGTTTATTAGTATAAAATAAGGGAATATTTGGTAAATAAAATTTAAGATAATTTAAATCTGAAAAAAATGAATACAATTTATATATAATTAATGCATTGAATTATTCCCCATAGTCGACTAATTGTTATTTCTTACCAAAAAGTATAATAAATAGTTGTTTACTTTTGAAAAAAGAATTGAATACTTCAAAACTTAAATATTAAATTGTATTGTTTCTATGATTTTAAATTGGAAATAAGAAGATAAATGAATCAACATTTAGATTAAAACATTAATATATAATAACACATTTCTAATGAAAATATCAAATAAAAATGTTAACACGTTGCATGATTTCTAAATAAATAGCTTTGTGTTAAATTAAGTATGCCAAATTGATATGTATCCGCAGCTAAAATCTTCAAGTAGAGACCCGGGCGGAAAGACAAGTAGCAGCTGGGACGGTAACTAAATTTCTCTGGAATTCCAACACTTCTTCGCAGACCTCTCCCAGAGCCCTTCTCACTCATTGCCAGCGGAAGTGCGTGAGTATAATGCAACCTATTCAGTTGCACGTATTCGGATCTGTGGTCTATTTACTAATGCAGCCCACACTCAGTCGGGGGCATCTTTCAGTCGGGTTGACAGTTTACACTTAGCAGCAGTTGTCAGCTGTACTTCAGTTGGACAAACAGAGCCGAAAAGTGTACTAAAAATACAAATATCATAACATAATACTTGGAGAGGTGGGAGGTGGGAGATGTGGAAGTGCGGGCGATGCGATACATTTGGCCTCGACCTCGACTCGCACTCGCCTGTCAGCCAAGTCCCGCTCTCGTCCAGCTACCCCTGAGATGGCGAGGGGGGGGGGGGGGGGCACAGCTGACAGACGGGGGGGGGGGCAAAACACACGGATAATCTCTAAGTGGAAATCTGTTTTTCCATTTGAAGTGCGCGCACTGTTGAAAATATTAAAAAGCAATTTCGAATCTTTCAACATTTCTGCCTCTCGGAATTTCCTTTTAATTAACCCCACTTGAGAAACTTAAGGTAAACTGCGCGGCGCAGACGGCGGCGTCTGTTTTCCTCTATTTGTAAATATTTGTGGTAAATTTTTACACAATTTCTCGACAGCTTGACAAATGCAGCAAACACACACGCACACACACGCACACACACGCACACACACACCTACAACTAATTACTTGCCACACACTTGAACTAGTTTTTCAGTTTTCCATGGCGTGAAGTAGCGGTCGCTGGAAAATTTGTATCCTTTAGACCGGTTGAGGGCGGAACCTTGTCTTAGTTGCATTTTGATGGGCTTAGACGCGCGCCTTGGCATCATTCGACCCGAGATCCTTAGACTCTTCAGGATTCGGTTGGAAAAGTTGAAAGTGAATCAAGCGCAAATTCTGTGACTACTTTATAAAAAGAGCTTGCAAAGGGAGGCTTTTTTTTTATTTTAATGTATTAACTCTGTAATTAGTTGGAAAATGAGACTCAAATATAAACATGTGCTCATATAAGAGATATTCTGTGCTTTCCATAAGAAGGCTGCACGACTTTTATAATTGCACAAGGAATGTCGTACTTTTCATTAGTTAGTTACATTTTTACTCAAATAAAATCATAGAGAAGTTACAATAGAAAGATATAATGCTTGGGCTTGATAAAAAGCTTTTAGGATTCCTCAAAATAATAATAAATATTTATTTTTTAATGCTACTTTCCGCAACCTTTACATTTTTAAATAATTAGCTGACTGGAGGTTCGGGATTTAATTTATTAATATCAGAAAAGAAAACAATTTAGTTCTAATATATTTTTCTCTTCCGAAAAAATAGGTTCTGAGAATGTCCCTAATAAAAGAGCGACAATTTTCTATATATTTCTAATTATCTAATTATTAACATTTAACTTTTAAATATTTTGTTAATAATAGCTATTATTTAAATGTTAAATATTTTTTTAAACAATATTTAGCCAATAAATTTTAAATATTTATAATATAATAATAAACTTTTAAATGTTAAATAATTTTTTTGTTAATTAAATAAAAGCTAAAGCATTAATTTTTAATTGTTTGAAATATTGAAGCTACACAACAATACACTTATAAACAAAAATTCTATTAAACACAGACATTTTTTTATTTGAACAATTGGAAAATTGGGAATTTTGGCTGAATTTTGAGTTCCATTTTAAATAGAGGCACGTTCGACTGAAGCAACAACAAAGCGTCGCGTGTCAAATATTTGTACAATTGCTGCTACATGGACTGCATTTTCACGCCGCATAATTAGACAACAAAAACAACAACAACAATAACAACAAGAGGAAAAACAACATCAAATGATAAAAACAAGAAATTCAATTGAAATGCAACTCAGCAAAATGCAACAACAAAAACAACTGAAGCTTGGCTAGAAAAAAAAAAAACAAATTTAATTAAATGCCAAACGCAGCTCGTGCAACAATAACAACAACAACAATAACAACAACTGAAACAACTGTTAACGACATCTGACAAGAGGCCTAAAAATGCAAATTGCATGGGGGCACACTGGCAGGGCTTATGCTGGAGGAAGGGGTTTTGGGTGGAGGTGGGGTTATCCAGTGGATATATAGTATATGGATAGAAGCGAATGGGTTGGGATGGGAAGACATGCTATGCATATTCTAATCGGTAATCAGCCCAATGCAAGGCGTGACCCATTTGAAATTGCCGATAATGTTGCGAGGGAGGGAGCACATACGTATGCATATATGAGAGGTGGGAAAGTACAGTTGGGAAAGGTGTGGACAGAGTTGCGGGAAAACTGTCGAACTGTGGAACACCTCGAAGCTAGGGGCAATAGCCAGGAACTAACAGAAAAGGAAATATATAAGATAAATATGATACTTAAAAAGAGATAAGAAAGAGATAATATCAGAAAGAAAGTAAGAACGAAAAGAAAAGAAGAAAATATCAACTTTTTCAACTGCTCAGTTCTGATTACTTTAGTTTTTTGAATGAATACTATCTTAATATTAAATGTCTGCAATTAATTATTATTTTTTTTTCTAATTTTTTAACAATATCTCGCGGAATTCGAAAACGGAAATGCATTTGTTGAGGCAAGATTCGATTCGCAAAATTGTTTAAAATCTGGTTTCTTTTCAATTCCACACATATTTCTTAATCTTAAATATTTTCGACAATTTCTAAGACTCACCTTTTTTCCGTTAAATGCAGACAATTTTCATCGTCAAACAAATAAATTGTTTTTATTTATTTATTTAATATATGGTTGCACCTGCTTGGATTTATCCTTAATTTATTGTACTTTTAGCTGGTCACATTATGCACAGGCTCACACACACACACATAGATACGCACACACATATAAATCTCGTGGGGTTTTCGCTTGAGTGTGTTTAATGAAATTCAATTAAAAATACCGCCAAAGATGATCGGCTAAAAACAGAACACGGGGAAAGCAGAAAATCACTTTTCAAATTGAAATTCAACGCACTTTGGTCACACTTTTTGTTTGCAAACCGGCGAGCAGCAAGCGTTAACCGTTTGACGTCGACGTCAACGTCAACGTCGGCGACGCTGCTATGCAATCAATGCAATTCCAATTAGAAGGCAAGCCTAGCAGCGCAGTCAGCGTCACAAAAGCGCGTCGCGTCGAAAGTTCAAAGCAGCGCAAATTTCGCACGAGTTTTTTTTTCGGCTTTTGCCTATGACAGCAGGATATTTATTATTACTATGCGACGTTTTTCTGGCAGTCTTCAGGCTGCTTTTTATGACTTGCAGATTTAATGTTAACAACTTTAAAAGCCCCAACACGCGCTTTCCGCATTTGCATAGAGCACGTCAAACGTACAATTATAAATTTACGCAAAATGCTGGTAAACGACGCTGACGACGACAGAACGACGCTCCGACCACAACCGCTCGCGACGAGTTTCGCTTTACAACTGGCGCCTTCCAATTGGAAGCACCGGGAGTCAGTACCGGAGCCAGAGCCAGGCAGCGTCGACTAAGCATAAGTAGCGGCATGCGGCATGCGGCGCAGTGTGTGTGCGTTTGTGGGTGGCTGTATGGATGCTTCGGCTGCACGAATTGCTTTGCTTCGTGCTTGTTGCCTTCGGTTCGTTAAGTGTCGTTCGGCTCGGTTTGAGGCGAGAGAGCGTATGAGCATAGAAATCGCATGCGAGAAATTCAAGAGTGTTAGTTTTGTAAGTAAATGTACCTTTTTTTTTTTTTATAGATAACCAACTTTTTATTTTAAACATAATAAATTATTACCTATTTATTTTAGATTTATTTAAATTTTTGGGAAATTTGTGAATAGCCAATAAAGCCCGCCAGAGTGAATATTTGGACTTGCTATAAATTGTGCTCTCTTTTTATAGCAACGCTCTTTACATGCCGGTAGGCAACAAAACTCGTTTCTCAGCTGCTTCGCTCACTGGAATTGGAAGCAAGAGAGCGTGAGAGAGCGAACACTGCTAACAGCTGATTTTTGTTTATTTCAAACAAACTCTCTGTTGTTGTCTGTTTGCTGGCTGTGTGTGTGCGTGTGTGCGTGTGAGTGTTGTTTGCCTGATAAGCACGTGTTTTTATTGTCGGCGTTTGTCAGTTTTTGCGCGGGTGAGAATTGACGCCGTCGACGCCGCTGCCGCTGTCGCAGTCGCTGCCACTGCCACCTTTGCGGTTAGCGTCACTTTTAACAGCGACTGTTAACAGCTTTGCATAGCTGTTAAAAGAGATCTCAATTGGTATTCTATTAGATTAGCATAAGGTTTTATTTATATAAAAATATGAGGGATAAGCAAATGCCTTCATTTCGAAGAATTCCCATCTTGGGGCCTGCTACCTGCTTGGCCCGGACCTACCAGCTCGCCAACTAATTAGCTCAGCATCCAATTAGCCGGTAATACTCATGCAGAACACACGTTAAGCTCCCACCACTAAATGCCACGCCCCGTTGGCCAAGTCAAATGGCACGCGCAATCGTTGAAATCAGCCGCACAATCAATTAAAATTGAATTTGCTTGGCCAGAAAGAAATGTCGGTGGGCGAGACAAAAGTATTTGAAACATTTTGGGGCACAGATAATAAAACATAATGGACATGCAACAACCTTAAAAATGCTCGACTTGGGCATACCCTGTGCAGCAAAATCTTGCTAAATATATAATCAACAGTTGACAATCTCAGCCAGAATAAAGAGCTTAGCCCCAATGTGTTATGCAAATATGCTTTGACAACACAATTACAGGGTATTCCACACCTATGAGCCCGGTCTGGGTCGCCTGTCTGTGCTGCGACTCTTGCTAAATCAGCAAATGTGTCACTAGCTGCACGGGAATTCTGCTCCATGTAGAAAGAAACGCATTAATTTGGCTCGTTATGACTATTGCCACGCCCCAGCCCCCCTGTGCCCGCCAAGACAAGCAGCGACATGTCGCTCGGGTGTCGGGCGTCGGGCGTCGGCGGCGACCATATGGAAATATGGAAATACATATACATATACATATTTGTACGCCTTGAGTAATATGCCACAAATGTCTGCAAGCAGCGGCAGTTGCTCGCAAGTGCCCCCCGCACCGCAACCAACTCCGCCTGCGTTGCGTCTCTTCCTCCTCCTCCGGCTGCTTCTCGGCCAGCTCCACGCTGAAGCCAACGCCAGCGGCGCACGTTAAGCGAATCGTGCACACGCCCCATGACGATGATTAATTACCTTTTGGGTGCTGCTCGTTGTTGCCGCTTGCCGGTTGCCGGTTGTTGCTGACTTCAATGTATCTGTATCTGTATCTGAATTTGTATCTGTATCTGTATCTGTTTCGGTATCTGTATCTGTAGCAAGTATCTTGCGCACATTTCACTTATGCACGCTTGAAGGAAACTGGAGGCTGGCACAGCAAATGCTTTTGGGGGCTGTTCAGCCAACGTTTCGGGGGAAACCTCAGACCGAAGCCCGCTGATGAAGTTGTATTATTCATCGCAAATAATTTTCGCACTCTCGTGGAGTCGGAGCCGACGCCAAAGCTGAAGCCGCTGCGAAGCAGTTAAATAATTGCAGAGAATCGTAGGTAATATAATTTGGATACCTTAGCTTGTTTGATGGGTTGATTTCTCCTATAGAGGATATTATAATGCATGGCGATAGGTGATATAGGCTAATATATTGATGATAAGTATCGACTGTGAAAAATCTATCGTGTTCGTATTTCTATTAATTTTGCAGAATCCAAGTTTACTCAGTGTTAAAAGTGGATCAAAGATTTATTTGGCCAATTGGATTTGAGCTTATTTTCAAAGCTCTACATAAAAACTTGGTGAATACGTGTTTTACGAATTTTAAAAATTCCACTCGAAACTGTGGAAATTTCAAAACATCTATGGAATATTTAATATAAGACGTGGAGTTCAAGATAATATGGTGGGAATTAGGTCAAAAAAATATTTATATAAAATACGAGGAATACATATTAACTCTTAACTCATATGTAAATGTATTATTCATCTACAAAGCTTGTTTTCATCAAATATGTATTAAACAATTAAAAATTAATCAAGCTACCGCGATTCCTTGCCACTTTTCAAAAGCAAGACGGTCGGTGTTCGCCTAATAGAGACTTTACTGTAGCTGCCATGGGAATAATCGCACGAAAATTAAGTTATTTTTACGAAAAACTATTTTGTTTTTTTGAGTTTTTGCGAGTGTTACAATATAAACAAAGTCATATTAACCTCGGACAACAATATAATTGAATCTATAGAGATAATCGATCAAAAATGATTTTTATATGAAAAATATTTCCTTCTTCCCGCCATTAACGAGTTTAACAATTCTCCCTACATAACTGCAGAGCTGTAGCCTATCGGACAACTTTATTATATAGCTTTTATCGGAACAATCGGTGGGGAATTAAGCTTGTCTTTAAAATTATGTCCATGCCTCAGCGAGCCGAAAATAGATAATCTATCCCGTTTATAGATCTTTTAGCTGTCGTTTATCTTTGATTTCATTCGAATACACCCCAAAATCAATTGCACTTAAGCGTAATCCGCAGGTAAGCCGAAAATATGTGCTCATTTAGTTTAATGGATGATGCAGTTACTCCGAAAGGGAGTCCGTCTCCAAATGGAAGATATCGGGTTTCCCCATTGGATTTTCAATGCACTTGCTGAACTCTTTCGCTCTCGCAGGCGCGGGCCAATCGATAAACTTGAAATGGAGATGCATCCAAGACTCGAAAGTTGGCTCAGCCGAGGGAGTTGCCGAGGGACGGGGGTGAAATATTTCACAGAAATTCGAAACCGCGCAGTCAATGAACCAAAACAAGGGAAAACAAAAGGCAGGCGGACTCCAGCACAAACACGCATAGAAAAATAAATAGGAGTAAAAATAAAAACGAAAAAAAAAAGGAGAAATAACAAAATTTTCAACAATTTGACATCTGTTTCAACAATTGCGCTGCTCAAGTCGATGAGGCATGCAGCAAAAAGGACGCCACGTCACGTAGATTGACTTGTCCCCAGGAACAACAACAGACTCGGGAGTCGGGAGTCGGGACTCGAAAAGGGCCCCAGCGAAGGCAACTGGAAAAAGGAAACTCCTTTCGTTTCTCTGTTGTTTTTTTTTTCATTCTTTTTGCCTTTTGTATTTGAAGTCTGGTTTTGTGTGCATGTGACAAATGTCAAGGGTTAATGAGATCCTTGGCCATTGAAAGTTGGAGTTGTGTTAATTATCTGCAACAGCGAGCGGGAGTTTTAACGCTTCATTAGGCAAAAGCAAAGGCGGGAAAATACTTTTCAAATACTTTTCACTCTGCACATCCACCAAGGGCGAAAGTGATACCGACTTCCAAGTTCCATTTGCGGCAACACATTTACGGCAAACACGTTGCAGACAGTACAAAAAATATCATGTTACTTAAACAAGAAGTTTTCTGCATTGGTCCCTTTTAGAGGGCAACCGGACTGGGGTTGGGGTATTCCAATGCAATTAGTCAGATTTAACTTTAGGAAAGGTTTAATTTGGTGCATCGAACAGATGCCCGACAAATGTTGACATTACGAGTCATTGCCAGCTGAAGCTTGAATCCATAATTGCATATGTTCAATTAATTATTGAACAATTATTGACAATTGTTGAACATTTTAAGAAAAATATCATTTTTGTAAACAATTTTATTCCGTTTATGAGTCGATAAGTCGGAGCGCTTCCTAAAATATAAGGTGGATAATTTGTAACTATCTATAATAATAATAATAATAATAATAATAATAATAATAATAATAATAATAATAATAATAATAATAATAATAATAATAATAATAATAATAATGTTAATAATAATAATAATAATAATAATAATAATAATAATAATAATAATAATTATAATTATAATTATAATTATAATAATAATAATAATAATAATAATAATAATAATAATAATAATAATACTAATAATACTAATAATACTAATAATAATAATAATAATAATAATAATAATAATAATAATAATAATAATAATAATAATAATAATAATAATAATAATAATAATAATAATAATAATAATAATAATAATAATAATAATAATAATAATAATAATAATAATAATAATAATAATAATAATAATAATAATAATAATAATAATAATAATAATAATAATAATAATAATAATACTAATACTAATAATAATAATATTAATAATGATAATAATAATAATAATAATAATAATAATAATAATAATAATAATAAAATTAATTCAATAATAATAATAATAATAATAATAATAATAATAAAATTAAATCAATAATAATAATAATAACACAAATATTATTAATATTATTAACATATATTA